AATTTTCAAGTTTGTTGCAAGAATTAAGAAAAAAAATTTAAAAACTAGGAGCCGAGAGTACAGTTCAGTGATACAACACATTTATTATGTGTAAGACCCTGGGTTCTAGTCTCAGCACCACAAAAATTGAAAAACTAAAAAGGTAAACAGTAAAGGCCCTCTGTCTAGTTCAAAAGACTCTATTGTTAGAGTATCACAAGAGGTGAACTAGTGTTTGGTTTGTCTGCAGACAGGAACAATGACATAAGCAGACAGCTGGGGTCCATGCCAGACGGGGCATCTACTGAATGCAGACTGGATTCCCATTCGCTGAGCTACACCTGTCGGACTGGAAGCCCCTGGTGCTTCAGTCATGAATGAGCACATCCTGTTCAGGGATTTCAGGCCTCAGGAAGCAGGCCTTCGGCTCCACCCTGCAGTGCTGGCGCAGAACCAAGACTGGGCTGACTTCCCTCCCCGGTCTGCCTGGCACTGCCTTTCCAGTACCATCCGGCTTCAAGCCAGAGTCTCAAGGTGTATAGGACACCAGTGGCCTAAAAGGGGTACTCCTCCCCCGATGCTAGAATGGGAGATTTCCCCTCCCACCTCTTTGCCCGAGTCATTCCTATTTCTACTTCTGTTTCCACTCGGCTCCATGCTCCAGAAAAGGGTTTGTAAGGTTGAAGGGTAGAGAAGAGAACCCGAGGGTCAGTCTGTCCCATTGACCATGATTCTGAACTAGGAACATGTGAAAGAAAACGATTCATTAGTGGCCGGACAAAGACATGTCATATGAAGGCCTAGACCTTTTCTCGGACCTTGAGCCCCTACACTGACCTGCTTTTCATCATGTATATGATCCTGACGATAAAATACTAGACAACCTCAAACTGGCTTCCCAGACTGACTTGGCTTTAGATCGCCAGGCATTAATCACCATGGTCCGCAGTTCGTTCTTAGTTTTGAGAGGAAAAAGAAACCGAGAACAGAAAAACTTCACTTTTCACCCATTTCTCAGAAGAGAGAGAGAATATGAAAATAGGAGTGAGAAATTATGATGTTCCACATTTTTTTTTCTCATAAGACACTAGAATAGATACCCTGACTGACGGCAGACACAAACAAGCACCTCCCAAAGAAGGTCAAAGAAGGTCAACTTTGAAAGAGCGGTTCCTGGTACTCCTAGCTCCAGAGGTCCTGTGCGTAGGGAAAGGTGGAGCAGGGCTTTTGGTGTCCCGCAGTGGAACATTGCTATACTGTTGGGGCACACCTAACAGGAACTCCAGAGGACATCAAACAGTTCGATACATATGTCAGAAGGAGGGGAGTGGAGCAGAAAAGGTATGAAGGAATGATGACTGATATTTAAAGATTTCAATGAAAGACAGGTATTTGCAGACAGGAGATTCATGAAGCTGAAGAACAGAAAAGTCCATGTTGGTGGATGTCAGAGTCGAATCTCTGAAAACACAGATGGGATGTAAATCTTGAAAGCAGTGAAGACAAATGATGCATGATTATAATAGATATATCTGATCCACAGCTTACTTCTCAAGAGAAACTACGGGACTAGAAGAGAGTTGAAAAACACCACCAAAATCTTGAAAACACGGAAAACCTAAACCTCAGAATTTTTATATTTTATTTTGCACGTGCTTATTATCTATAGGTATGCACATGCCACAGTGCCTGTGTGGGAGTTAGAGGACAGCTTGTGGGAGTCGATCTTCTCCTTCTACCCGTGGGGCCCAAACTCAAGTCATCAGGCATGGCAGAGGGTACCTTTATCCACTGAGGCATCTCACTGGTCTTCATTCAGTATTTTACATCCACTGGATGCAAATTTACACTCAAATATGAAAGCAAATAACATTTAGATTTTCACATAAAATGTAAGAACTTGTGGCCAAAAGACATGCACTATGGCTTTAAACTCTAAAGGAAGTTATTTAAAGGGAATTCTAAACGGAAACTCTGGTCCTCAGGAAGAACACCAGAAGTAACAAATGTCTGGGTAAATCAGGATGATTTATGTTGGTCATAGCCTCTTAAATTCTTTGTAAATTATTTAAGACTAAGCAGTCTATTAGTGGTAAAGGTCTTATGTAAAAGACAAGTTCTCACAGGCTTCCTAAACGATAACATATTTATCTTATGGGATTTGGACATTTTACTTCTGTCTATTCCAGCCTGTTCTCACCATGATAGGCTTGTTTTGAGGATAGACTGAGCAGGTCTTTGGATAAAGAATGGGACCTCTGAAAATTACAAATGGGAAAATCGAGAGGATCTGTATGGCTGGGAGGAGCATAGACACATGGGAGGGAAAAAGCTTGTGATTAGATGCCCCCATGGTAAAATGTTTATGGTAACAGGCCTAAGAACCTATCCGAGGTTTTGGCAGAAGGTGAGAAATAAATGTGATCTACCTAGTCTACCTCCTGACTTTCTTAACTTTCCACTCTACGCCAATTGCAAACCCTCTATGGAACGGACAAGAATGTCTCTGACTTAAGCAGGACTTGACCTTTCATCTCCAGTCCACGCTGGAGGTGAACACAGGATGGTGGGATCTGGGGATAGTGGGAGCTTCTGAGGGAATTTACAGGGTCAAGATCCGCCCAAGAGTGGAGGAAGGTAATGACCTGGGAGGGCGGTGGATGCATCACCTACCTGAATCATGGATACCTGAAGACTAAGGTCGATGAGTGTTCTGGGTGGACCTCCAGGATGGACTGAGTACCTCAGGTGCTGACATTCTTGGTAAACACCGAGTGCCCTGGAATTTGGCAAAAGAAGACACAAGGAGAGAAGAAGGGTGTTGCTGGTGTTGCAAGCAACAAAAGAAAAGGACTTCTTTTTTTCATATGAGTGGGGAAAAAAAAGATCCATAACCATAAGCAGCAAGGACATTTCTTGGAAGGCATCTATGTTTCCCTCCCAAATTCCATTCTTCGGCTTGTTGAACAGAACTACTGCTAACAAGGCCTGCCTAGGAATCTGATAATCCTTCATGTCTTTTCTCTCATTACTTACACCTAACCAATAAACTTTTTTTTCTTTCTCTCTTTTACCCTGAGAGAGGGTTTCGCTATGTAGCTTTGGAGCCTGTCCTGGAATGGAACTTAGCTCTGTAGCCCAGGCTGGCCTTGAACTCACAGATCTGCCTGCCTCTGCCTCCTGAGTGCTGAGATTAAAGGCATGCACCATCACCACCTGGCTACTACTAAACTCTTAACAGCATTGATTTATTCCAGAGTCACATATGTATGAATTGAGAGAAGCTCGGGTATTGGAGGTCCTTACGCTCTGTTCTGTCTGGACAGACAGATTGGTCTAAAGTTCTAAAGAGAAACCCGAGTTGTTGAGTTAGTGCTTGGGATACTTCGGGCAGGCACACAGAACTCCAATTCACATCAGAGGTTGTTAGCTTTGTAGTTTCTTTTAGGGAGACTTTTAAATGCTCCCCATCCCACTTCCCTGTCCTCCTCCTCCCAAGGATCTGGCAGCTTCCTCAACAGAAAGAAGACAAGGTGAAATGTTAGCAGGTCCAGAACATCAAAACACAGGTGATACTAGTGATACTAGTCAGTGATGGGAGGGAAGTGGAGATTAACTATCTGTCCATTAGGAATCAAAAATCAATTTTACCTTACAGGCCAACTCTCTACAGTACTGTGGTGAGAAGGATTCTGAGGCTTAGACGCTTGGATATGGGCATGGGAAGGGAGCTCTGGGATGGACATGGTAACAGGTGCTTAAGAGTGCTTTTCTTAACCCAAGTGGCTTGTTTATAGAGGGAGAAGCCTTATTAACTGGTCCCCAGGAAGTGAGGGACCGCCTAGACTGATATCAAGGAGTCAGGTGTCTCTGTGTCATGGAAGCTCAGGACCTGTCTGTCAGGTCTTGGTCAAGTCCTAATCGAAGAGTTAAGAAAAACATTGTGAGAGCAAGAAAAGCCTGTTTATCACCATCAACGTTTTCTAAATTCCTCCCAAGAGCTGGCTGTCCAGTTCAGTCAGGCCTGAACATTGCAGCGGTCACTTACAAGTTAGACTTGATACCTTCATCTGCCCACACAGGTAAAAAAAAATGAAGCCCTGGGCTCATCTGATCTACACAGATCTCTCACATTTCAACAGAAATCCTAGGGATCTGAATATTGAAAAAACATTCATTTACTTATGGGATTTTCGAAACAGTTTATATATAGCCTAGACTGACCTCCAACTCCTGGTCCTTCCGACTCAGCCTCTTGAATGCAGGGATCCCAGACACGCACCAGTTCAGGTGGTGCGTCTTACACCTCAGCACAGTGCGCTCAAACCGAAAACCTTGAGTCTTAGACCACCCGCCTCCCGACTCTTTGGCTCATTAGGAACCATCATCTCTTCACCCCAATCTCAAGAAAGCCTTTTTTTGGTCGAGGGGAGTGTTGTCTTCGTCAAACGGCTAGCCCTAGATAGCGAACGGTGACTTGCGTCTGGCCTTGGTGAGGAGTCCACAGAATAGAAAAGGGTGCAAGAAATTCTGAATTTGACTTTCTCCCATCCGATGGGTAAGAATGTCGTCTAGCTTCTGCAGGCCGAAGATCTTGGGGCAGTCTTCCTGTGGGGAGCTTGCTCTTGCATGTGAACAGGGCTAGGGATGCTCCTTGTTTTGGATCGTGTGTGTGTGTGTGCGTGTGTGTGAAGGTGAATGTGGCTGATTCTTGGGTGTGGTGAACTCCTTTAGGGAAGTCCGTCGAGAAGGGTCGGCCTTGAAGTTGGAGGCAACTCCTTTGCACCTCTCAGTTCTCCAGTCTCGGGGAATGCTAGCTCCCACCTCAACGAAGAGTGATTAAGAAGCAGGTTCCAGAGTGGGAGAGAGAGCGAGCGAGCAAGCTCCATGTCCTGGACATCTCTTGGCCCTTTCCAAAAACCTTGGGGTCCAGGGTGGCAGGAAACGTCCCCCTCAGCCACCGCTTGTCACCTCCAAGAGGAGGAGGAGGAGGAGGAGCCAGGTGGGTCTTAGCCGCTCCGGGAAGGGTTGTCAGCCCCGGGGCTTCGGGACGCTGCGGGCAGAGAAAAGCGCCCTCGCGGTCCAGGGCTCCCCGGGGCCCGGGGTGGTGAAGGAGAACAGAAACACGCCACGCAGTGTCGCGCACCGTGGGCGAGCGAGCGAGCGAGCGAGCGGTCGGGCGAGCCGGCGAGCGGGCGGGCAGTCCCTGCCCGTCCGCCCGCCCGCCCGTCGCTCGCCTCCCCGCCCCCCGGCTTCCTGCGGAGGCCGCGGCCGCCATGTTGTTGTAGGGCTGAGGCGGCGCCGGCGGCGGAGCCCAGCGGCCGTGACAGGCTGCGCAACAGGTTCGCTGCGGCCGGGACTGACTGACGGAGGGACTGACTGACCCGGCGGCGGCGGCCCGCACAGCGAGGGGGGTCGGCCGGCCGGGCCGTGCGCGGGTGTGCGGAAGAGGAGCAGGAGCAGGGGCGCGCGGCGGGGTCGCGCGGGGACGCGCGCCAGGCGCCAGGTGGGTGAAGCCCTCGCGGCGGCCGGGGCTTGCGGGGCGGGCAGGTGCGGGCGCCGCCACCGCCACCGCCGCCGCCGCCGCCGCCTCCCCCGCGGGGTTCCACGGGCCGCGCGCCGCCGCAGAGCGCCTCCCGGGCCCGCTCCTCCGGAGCGCGTGCGGCCCCCGCCCTAGGCCCCGGCCGCGCTCGGCTCCGCTCGGGCCGCGCCGGGCGGAAACCTCGGGCCCCGGGTTCCTGCCCCCTTCCCCCGCGGGGCCGGCGGGCCGCTGCTCTCCGAGGCCCGGACACCCGGGGAGGGGGATCCCCCCCTTCGCCACGGCCTCGCTTGGCAGGTGACGGCCGCCGCCGCCGCCGCCTCTGGCTGGGGGGATCGACGCGGTCCCCGGCTTTTCCTTAGGGGCACCTGGGTGCGCGTTGCCTTGGAGACCCATTTTATTTTGGCTTAGTTGGTTTTTTTTTTTTTTTTTTTTTTTTGGTTTGGTTTTTCCCTTCCCCTTCTTGGTCAGCGTTGGTGCAGAGTGTCAGGTGAGCCGCATCCCGGTGCGTCAAAGTAGCCCGAGTCACGGGAGGACAGTGGGCGGATGCTTCGGCGGCCGCCGCCACGGCTCGCGTTTTCACAGCTAAAGTTGGGAGATTGGGAAGCGTTGACTTCGGTTCCGCGTCGTGCACTTCCAGGGTTATGTGGGAAAGCACGGGCGAGAAGGGAACCAACCACCTCGGGAGCCAGAGTAAAGTTCACTGCTTATTGAAGGAAGGGAGAGAAGACGCCGCCTTGCCGGTGCAGAGTGACTGGGGAAACTGAGGCTGCAAGGGCAGGGAGGGGGGGCGCTCGTTCTGCAGAGAGACGCTGTTTGCACGTATTGATCGTGTGCTGTGGTGGTCAGTGATTGCCCGTGACCAATATGTTCGTTTGAAACTTGGACTCCTAATGAATAGGAACGTTTTGGACAGAGCCAGCTACTTTATAATAGGAATTGAAGTTAGCCCAGACATTACTGCTTTACTACATGCTTTTTTTTTGGGTCCGTTTCACAAGGGTTCATTGCTTACTCAGGGAGGCAAGTCGTCACTTGGAATTTTGTGTTGTTAGCTTAATTTAGGTAGCACGGACTGGAGGCCAAACTGCTTCAGCCTCTGAGAAATTGCTAACTTCTCTCCGAAGGTTTGCTGTATTGTCAATCACTGATAAAACCTAAAAGCAATCCAGAAACATCGCCTACAGACTTGAAACGAATTGATGGTAGGCCTGCAAAATTCAGTTACCAATGGTAGAAACTGATGTGCTACCTTTAGGCTAGGGATTGATTATTCCTATGATTGCCTCGTAATTAAGCAAGCAAAGTGAAAATATATCTTTTTTTTTTTTTTTAAGGATACAGGAAAAAAATGTGTGTTGCTGCTGTTTGATGTAATATTGATATGCAGTTGAAAAATCTGCATGTTTTTAAACATTTAATGCATTGAAGCATTCCCTTTGTTCACCTTTATAATGAAAAGTAAAATGGTTAGTGAAAACTTGACCAATATTGAACGATTGAATGGAAAGATACCATTGGTCAACACATCTCCAGGCTCAAATCCTGATTTCTCCTGAATATGAAGAAACATGTACATTCAGGGGATTAGATTTGTACTTAAAAAAGAAACGTGTTTTTACAAAGATAAAATGCATGCACCCATTACCCAAACTTAGAAGCTTTCAAGGTTTTCTTTATCTTTGTCATTTTATCCTGTAGTTATTGTATCTCTTATTACAAAGTGGAAAGTTTCTTATATAATCTTAGAACTTTTAGGGATGTGTGTGTTTGTGTGTAAAGGTGTGTGTGTGTGTGTGTGTGTATGTGTGTGTGTGTGTGTGTGTGTGTGTGTGTGTGTGTGTATTAGGGAGTGGACCAACTGTTTCACACATTCTGAGCATGCTGTCTGCCATCAGGGTGCATGTGGTCTCTTTTCAGTTTTAATTCATCTTTAATATAGAGTTTCCCAGAGTTCCATCATTTAGTAAAAGAACATGTATTGTTCGCCATGAACTAAATGTCCTTTAGTATTACAGTGTATTTCCCGTGGTGGTCATTTATAGAGCACTTGCTAGTTTTAGAGCCTGTGCTCAGTGTTTATATGATTACTTAAAGTGTATGAAGTCCTTGGAAGTAATTAATGTCCTCCCGTCAGATAGGTAAGTGAAATGTTAAATTAGAGTTTAACTACTCTAGGTCTCAGAGTTAATAATTAGTATGAGCATCCCATTTCAGATTAGGATTCTTTTTAACTTTAGCACCCATGTTCTTGTACATACATCTTGGTTCAGGTAAAACAAATTTGTGTGGGCATTTAGTGTGTGTGTGTGTGTGTGTGTGTGTGTGTGTGTGTGTGTGTGTGTATGTGTATACACAAATGAATTGCTGGGTTTACATTAGGAGAGGATGAGCTGGCTTTGTCAGCTCCAGGAAGGGGCTGTCAGGACCAGGGTTTGCAGGTTTCCCTGGGAGGACAGAAGAGTGCTCACCACCAACCTGTGTCTGGAGTCCCCAGTTTACACAGCCAGAGTCTCCTTATTTAGCACAGACAGGCCTCGAACTCATCCTGCCTCATTCTACCTACTGCTGGTATCATATGTACACCTTCACACCCATTGAAGAAGCTTTACATGTTTATTTGTGAAACACTTACATTGGGCTCTATATGTTATTCAGGATATGATAATTACATTACTAAAATATGATATATTTGTTGTCTAACAACCTGTTTGGAGTTTATTTTTTGTATTTAAAAGAATACCATACTTACGGAAAATTTTTGGAAAAACTATTTTGCAAAAAAGGGCTAAACAAGGGAAGACTTTTGGGGTATGGCAATTGTTAAAAGCGGATTCCAAGTGTGAAATAGAAAAAAAACAAGAATATTTCAGTTATTTCTGCAGTTGCATAGATCTAAAACTGATCATACATTAGAATGTATTTCCACTTCTTGGCTCTTTTCTGTTAAGTTTGTACCATCCTACAGCTCTTGCACACAGACAGATGTTAGCATTCTCTTGGGTAAAGTGGGCGTGCATATAGGTATTCTTGAGAAAGAGGAACTGAACCGGCTTTAAAGGATATGAGGCCGAGAGGAAATGGGGGAGGAAGGGAGGAAACGGAGCAGAAATATGACAGTGAATAGCCTGAGAAATAATGTATTTTTTATAGCTCTAAGAGTGCAGTGTATTTCATTTACAGTGTTTTGTCTTGAGAGATTCAATTAAAATGTAGCTTCACAGCCATACCTAGACACTGAATAACTTTGTTATTTACTGTACAGCTATTCAGCCGTGATTATGGCAGACATTTAGGGGTCTACAACCAGATGGTAGACATTTAACTTGTTGTATTTAACTAACCACTTGTGTTATGTTTTCTGGATCCTTTTCATTATGAATGCATATTCATTTGAGAAAAAGTCTGGTTTAATAAAAATTGTGTGTATATTTCTAACTATGTTGGATAAAAGTATCGGCTCTTTACCCCAGCTCCAGCTCCAAATAGCTGCATGACCTTAAGCAAGTTTCTTTAATTCTCTAATTTCTGTTTTTTCTAGAAAACAGGGATGATAACAGTACCGTTTCATAGTGTTGTGTATAATGTAAAGTGCTTAGTGATGGTGCTTAGCAGAAGTTACCTGTTATCGTCCAGTTTGCTTCAGTGAGAGAGTTCAAGCTAATTAGTCTCTCCCTCTCTCTGTGTCTCTCTATGGTTTGTGATTTATCCTAATGATGCCAAAAGAAACTAGCTTTTTCCTCCTTTCTTTTTTTTTTTTTTTTTTTTTTTTTTTTTTTTTTTTTCTGGAGCTGAGGACCAAACCCAGGGCCTTGCGCTTGCTAGGCAAGCGCTCTACCAGTGAGCTAAATCCCCAACCCAGTAGCTTTTTCTTGTGGTACTCGGTTTCTAGCCAGCATCAGAACGAAGCGGATGAGAAGGCTGGAGAATAGGTGACAGGATCTGACCTTCGGTGCAATGTGAGCCTGGGCCCCTTTAGCTCCCTAGTTCCGCTACTGTGTGTTACCACTCCAGAGCCTCTGACTCCATCCAGGCCGCTCAGCTCTTCTTTTGCTTGACTAGGAAGAGGCTGGTGTTGAGAGAGAATCGTGACAAGTGAGAGAGCTGGTCAGCTAAGGTGCCTGCAGGGTTCACACCGCTCTTTAGGACAGGAGAAGCCTTTGCCTGGCCATTTTCTTCCCGCTCTTTGGAGTCTCTGCCCCCGTCTCCGTCTTCCATCTAATGTGCAGTTGTGGCTCTTGTCAGTTGACTGCTTTAATGTAAGTACCAGATAGGTCGAGTTAATAAATCTTATAATTTATTATGATTTATGTAACATTCGGTGGTATTGCTTTTTAGTAATCATGAAATAATCCTTAGGGATTATAAGTAATCCCTTCAAAGATTATCGACATTTTCCGTTAGTTGCTTTCCTTGTTGCTGTGATGGAATACTTGACGAAAACAATACTTGAGGAAGGAGAAGTTCATTTTGACACATGGTTTGAGGGTGTCGTCCATCACAGCAGGAGGCCGAGACAGGTAGTCAGGAAGCAGAGAGATGACTAGATGAATGCCCATGCTCCGCCATCTTTCTCCTTTGTATGAAGTGCAGAACCCCAGCCCACGGAATAGCAGTCCACATTCAGGGCATGGCTTCCCACCTCATTAACCTAATCCAGGTAATCCTTCACAGGCCTGGCCAGAGACTGATCTCCTAGGTACTTGTACATCCTGTCAAGTTGACCCTCAGTATTAACCAGCGTACTTGCCAAGAGTGCTGTGGGTTAGGTAGGATTGTAAAGTAGTATTGCTTCTCTAACCCACTGAATTAAGATCTGAAAACCCAAGTAGTAGACAAGAAACCTTCTCACTAGAGCATTTTAGGTTTTCCACTGCTAATTATTTTGTTTTTTATTTATTTATTTATTTATTTTTTTGTTGTTGTTTTGAGACAGGATTTCTCTATATAGCTTTGGTGCCTACCCT